CGTTATCATCAATTTAATGTAAAAGAATTCAACAAGCGACAAATGTTATAATCATTGATCAGTCAGTTCGTATATAAAATTGAGTGAGTATCGCTCACTACAGGGTGTAAGAAGTATGACTGCCACAACATCAGCATGCGATAGAGTAACCATAAATCAATAAAAAAAAGTTGTATATTATAGAGGCGTAAGATTAACAGTTTTCGAATTATAACGAGTATTAATATTGAGGAGTTTCATCACAACGTGACAACAGCGCTACACAGCTGATGCACACCACGTGTGCACGCGGCAGACCTGTCCTACGGAAAAAAAGTAAGCAACTATTATTGTGAAACATTTAGTAAATTTCAAGACAATTGTTTTCCAGTTTTTAAATAAATAAAATAAAATGTATCGATTTTGTAGTACGAAGATAGTGTTGTGTTTAAATTTTAGCTCGAATTTTAGTAATTATGAATCTCTTAAAGGAACTTAACTTTTAATCAGATTATGAATTTGAAAAATATGTAATTAATGTACCCAAAGATTCATGTTGTCCAAATAATCATACGTATTAAACATAATTTAGGGACTTACCGAAAAGAACTACAACATATGCTCAATCGCGCACTCGCTGGAAAACACCTAGAGAAAAGGAAAGAGTGGTACGCAAAAAACACTCCAACACGGTCCAATTCCAGATACCAATACCAACTGAATTGCGTATTGCTGGACAGCTTTACCCGGAAATGGTTGAGTCTAGGACCCTTATATGATTAGGTTTTTTTAGTTCTACAAATGAAAATGTTCCCGTACAAAATGGAAATAGCAAAAGTCATCCCCTAAGATATGTTTTTTGCTCAGATAAACGCGCGTTTTATTTTTAACGACTATAAAATAATTACAAACATTGAGAAATTTATTGACGAATTTTATTATTCCATGTGTACAGGGATGTACACAAAAACAACAAGTGTTGGAAATTAATTTTGAAAAAGTAAAAATAAAAAGAAACATGTTATGGTGAATAGTCAAAATATAAATTATTTTACCACCAATTTATCAACCAGCAGTATATCTTTTTGCGTAGAAAAATAAAATGACCCAAAATCCTAACCCCAGAAAAATTATGATGATATAATAAACGCCTTGTACACCATATTTAAAAACTAACCAAAACGTACCTGTTAGAGATTCTCAAAACTAACTGCAAAATTTCAATATGGCAAATAGATTATACAGCCAGACAGAAAAATCGACTTTCGGGCCCAGAGGTCAGACCATGTGTATTATGTATGTATGTCAGTTTTTTGGGTCGCTGAATCCGAATTCGAGGTCCATTTAACCCCATCACCTCAAAATTTTTCATAACCTCAAAAAAAAAAAACGATATTCGGAACAATTAAACCATATAACCTTAAGACTCAAGCTTCCAAAGCTAAATCCAATTAGCCAAATTCCATAAACATTTAACCCAGAGATATCCCAATCTAATAAACCCATGAACCGAAACCCCAATAACCCTATAACCCCATAACCCCATAACCATGGGAATAAATCATAGGTAATCTGTATTATTGCAAAACATCACATTAGGATTCCTTGAAAACCCTAGTACTCAAACCAAAAATGCATCCTAATGTTGATCTAATCATTTCACATGTCCGGTCTTTTGATCTAGTTATTCTAGTGATATATTTTTTTGGGAAATATATAGTTATCCTTTGAATTTTCATTTAATTTAATCTAGTCAAGAGAGGTTCTTATCGTTAATCATTCATTTATTTATTTTAATTTTATTGATTAATTTATAGTACGGTCTATCCTACAAATTCATTTTTTTTTTTTCAAAAGTTCTTATGAGAGCTATATGTTGTACGAAATCCGATCGTATAACCACCTTGTGTTCGTGACCGTCGGCATTAGCATTACTCGATAGTAATGCTAATGCCGACGGTCCTACAAATTAAAGTTATAAAAAAAACTAGATCGACTAACACTCGGTTCTTTGGAGAATGGGATCAAAATACAAGGTAATGAAGTTGTGGTTAGAGAATCGTGGGGTTGTGAATTGTAGGATCATGGGGATTTTGGGGTTTGGGTGCATAAGTTTTTAAGATATTCCACGTTAACGTTTAGCTATAATACAGATTGCCTATGATTTATTAGTTATGGGGTTATGAAGTTACGGGGTTATGGGGTTTGCAATAATACAGATTGCGTATGATTTATTCCCTTGGTTATGGGATTGTGGGGTTATAGGGTTATTGGGGTTTGGGATCATGGGCCTATTAGGTTGGGATATCATTGGGTTAAATGTTTATGGGGTTTGGTTAATTGGATTTAGCTTGAGTCTTAAGGTTATATGGTTTAATTGCTCAGACTATCGTTTTTTTTTTGAGGTTATGAAATATACTGAGGTGATGGGGTTAAATGCACCTCGGATTCGGATTATCGACCCAAAAAACGTATAATAAGCATGCTCTGACATCTGAGCCCAAAAGTCGATTTTTGTGTGGCTGTGTTATTTTTGAGGATATTGGTATAACTTGTTTAGAAAAACACCTTGAAAGCAAATTGCTACAGATCTACAAGAAAAATTAGTATTTTATAATGTATATTCTATTGCTTCTAGAATATACAGTTATAATAAAAACCCTACAATTTTTTCTTTATATTATAATACCATCAGAAACAGTGATTTAGTTCTCCAAAGAGAACGATAATAACACTCGGAATACGTGTTAGTCATCGTAAACTTCGTTTTAAAATTACCACCAACTGTGGCAAGAAAGGATCATGCATGCTTAGCATTTCGGTTTAACAAGGGTTTAAATTAATACTTATCAGTTCTTTATTGTTTGTGAATAATTTACAATACCACATTAAAAAATTCGCCTTGTACATATAACACAATGTGACTTGTAAAACTACAGGAAACTTACGTAAAACGTACAATTTACGAAAATATTTTTCCATTGCATATTGTCACTTTATTGGAATAGTATTTTACGTGAATAATAACATTCATAATTAGAATACAAAAATAAAATTATATCAGCTAGTTACACTATTGACAGCATTTTTCCGAAATACACTGTCCGCAAATCATTTTTATCAATATCTAGGACCGAGTAGGGAAAAGTTTATTTCGGACAAAATCAGAATGGATTTTCACTATGAAAAATAATATTGAGTAGGTACAGTTTCTGTATATTTTAATAGTATTTAACGTAAACCCAATGATATTTGATTTCTTTTATTTCAATACTTGTTATCGTTTTCAAATAGAGTGTTTGAATTATATAGGTTGGACTATTTTTAGGTATAAAGGATATTAAATAAACATCGGCGGTTCTACAAACACTTATATAAATTTTATATTTTATTATGTGAAGAAAAATAAATTTTAAATAAGAATAGAAACGCACGTTGTCTTGTCTAATTAATTAAGGTAAAATAATTCTTTTTGTGGTAAATATGTGTTCTATATGCATGTATATCGTCTTCATATAACAAAGTAAATATACTGAATAAAACAGAATTTTTGTAATGAAATATTGAGAATCGGTGTCAATAAAAGAATGTAGCTATGGACAATTTTAACTTTGAATGTACAGTGTACAGAAATGGAAAAAAACTCGAATTGAGCAAACCGCACTTATTTTTGTGGACATGAAATATGCTTGGCTTCTGTGAGACATGAAATAGTTATCCTTAATTTGTCGTTTCATTGTCCAGCGTACCGTAATCCCAAATTAAGGTGACCAGAAAAGAAAATACATATTTATAAACCAATTTTGATTCATATTCTCGATTTTCATCAAAACTAAATGTGTATGCAAAATTTCAACTGAATCGGTTGGGGATAACTGTTTTAAAATTCAGTTGCAAGATTTGACCCATACTAACAAGGCGAGTTAAACAAAAGCTTGTTATAAAAAACATTTGAATTAATTTATACCAAGATGACTTTGGAGCATGCAAGTCTAAAAATCTTTGATGAAAACCCTCAATTATTTGACGGTAATAGATTTATCCTTTGCACTAAAGTTGCATTATTATTTTTGTTAAAGTAGAGTTAACATATTTGTACACTTATGTTGTTCAGTGAAATCACAAATCAAAAATAACTTTATCATTACCTTCGCAAGTCAGTTTTTTATTTTCACTAATTTTTATTTAGCTAACGTTTTTTTTTACTTCGAAACAAGCATAATAAGCCCATTTGATTTTTAATTCCAAATAAATTTTCTCCAGAGAATTTTTTCCTGTCCTAAAAAATAACTCTTTCTGATTACAAAATTTTTCATTTTCAAAGTATCCTGTACAAGGAAACATAAAATTGTCAAAGGTTATCTTGATCTATTAAGAAGCAACATTTTTTATCGAAAATTACTTTTCCGTTCTTTTTCATGTCAGATTAAAGTACGTTGATTTGCTTACTTTCCTTGATTGTATTTTTTCGTGCCCTCAAAAATAAATAAAGCCATGTATAAAAAAACTCTCCAACTCAAACGGTTTAAAATACAAATTTAGTAACACCCTATTTATTAAATTACCACATGCAGTTTAGGGTGGGAACTATTTATTGTCCACAGATCTTTCTCTCTGTAACCTTAACTGATTTTCAGATTTCTTCCTCTCCCGAACACCCTGTATATACAAACTTAAGATTTTACATAGCAACCTTATTTTAAACTGTGATACTTGAGCTTTTATTGATATCTGATTCTGTATATGATATTTAACTACATAGGACATATTTCTTAAAGATAACGATGAAGAACTATTTATTACTATTTATATTTATTACTTCTTCAATAAGTAGTTAGTAAAGGTACAAACGTAAGTAGTTCTTGGGTTGCTGATATTGCTTAGACCAGAGATTCCCAAAATTCTCCTCAAATACAAAAAAAAATTGGGAATCAGTGGTCTCTAGAAGTAGTAGATAATTTTTAGCAGCAGTTACGGACTAAAATAAAACTACAAAAAACGTTGGGCCACTTGATTCTTACCTTTATCTTCACTTTTTGTGCAATAACTTAAAAGGTCGAAAATTTCTGAGGGTTTTTGAAAACAGTCCGAGACTGCTGCTAAAACAAAAAAATATATAGGTATAATATATGTGACCCTTCCTACTATATCCTAGTGTTATTAGTGTTCGTACTATAGACCTAATTTTATAAGAAACTAATTACTGGAGTTGTTAACTTCAAGGTCAGTTGTATGTCAATCACTATTATCAAAATTCATATTGTATAAGAATGAAGTTAACAACTGGTTATTAATTAAATTGTTTAATTTAGCAAAAGCTGATACGGTGTTGCTAACTCATTATAATGTGATTATAACCTAGTTTTCTATTATTTCTGAACGAACAAAATAGATGTACTTCGTGTATTAGAAGTGAATATGTTCTAGATGAACAAGGCAGGAATTAAAAATAATGTGATAATATACAAAATTTATTTGAACATTTTCTTTTTATTTTAAGAGGCACCTGAAAACTCTCCAAAGAAGATAATAGTAATCGTCGTTTACTATGAGAGTTATTTTAAAGAAATTATAGAATTACCAAAAAAAAAATAATCATGTAGGTACTCTCAAATGAAATAGAATCTCATAAGAGAGACGGAATAAGATAAAACTAAAGATATTGATTTTTTTTATTACAAAATAAAAGATTCGGGCCGATTCCACTACTAATTTTAAGCTGTGCTAAGTCAAGCATTTAATAATTTTAATATTTTGCATAATAATGAGGAAATTGAAAACCCTAATCTGGTGGCTTCTCAATTTAATAGTTATTTTATTGATGCGCCTTTAGGGGTCAGGAAATAAGTTCTTTCGTCTAGTAATATTCCCATAGAAAATAATATCAAATATAACTGTAATTCGATATATCTAGATCCTTTTGTACTTAATGAGTTGCTTAAATTATTAAATTCCAAATTAAAGAGTAAAATGTGCCGACAATGTCCCTCTCTCCATAATTAAAAACCACTTACAGCTGATTTTAGAACCCTTAACATATTTAGTTAATCTCTCATTTTCGGAGGGGAAGTTTCCAGCTTCTCTTAAAACTGGAAGTCATTCCAATCTTAAAGAAAAATCATTCTCGTTTTCTAGCCAACTACAGGCCTATTACTATTACTAGTGGGTTTTCTAAAATTTTTGAGCATGCTTTTTTGGACAGATTGTTGAATTTTACCAATTTTAATATCTTTATAGATCATCAACATGGTTTCCGCTCTAAACAATCTACTTCTACTGCTATTCACAGTTTTATAGATCAGCTAATTGAGTTCATAGATGATGGTGAATGCCCTGTTGGGATCTTCTGTGATCTCAGCAGGGTATTCGACTGTGTTGATCATATTTTAATCCGCATATTATATAATTACGGTATTAGGGGTTGGTCTCTGGACTGGGTGACAACTTTTCTCAAGAAGCGAACTCAATATGTGACGTTAACCATTTGAGTAATCATGTTATGCAAACATATGGCTCAGAACTAGCTGAAATAAGCATGGGCATTCCACAGGGCTCAGTTTTGGGCCCAGTAATTTTTCTGTTATATATTAATAACATTGTTGAATTGTCCGGTGAGGCATATTTTGCTCTTTATGCGGACGATACATCTCTTATAATTTCTGTTAAATCTGAAAATAACTTTTAACGCAAATGTGAAGCCGTGATCTCGGACTTGATTGATTGGTTTAATAATATATGTTTATATTTTAATTCGGATAAAACTCAGATTCTTATGTTCCACACCTCGTAGAGACCACTTGGTGATCTTGAGCTTTGTGTTAATAGTGATACTATGTTTCATATTCGTGATACTTGCTGTAAGTTTCTGGGTTTATATCTGGACTCGCATTTAAACTGGAAGAGACATTGTGAATTTTTAACATCTAATCTTGCATCTGTTTATTACCTTTTTTATAACATTAGAAATATAATTGGAACTGACCATTTACTAAAACTGTATTATGCGCAAGTTGAAAGCCGACTAAGGTATGGAATTGCCTTTTGGGGTGACTCCACTCTCTCACATGATGTCGGGAGCTATTTGGTAGATATAAATTCTTAACCCTTTTTGGCCTTTACGTGTTTGAGATATGTTTGTTTGTGTTTAATAGTAAATCTAAGTTTTTAGCTAACTGTGATCTCCATAACATAAACACTAAAATAAAGAATGATTTGCGTATCCCTTATTCTAGAGTAAATATTACTTTTAAAGCTCCAAGCCGAATTTGTGCCAAAGTGTTCAACAATCTTCCGGAAAATATAAAAAATAATAAAAGTGTAAATGCTTTTAAATTCAATCTAAAATTGTATCTTGTTGAAAAGTGCTTATTTAGTACCGCAAACTTTTATACTTAATCAAGCATTACTTGTAACGTTTATTTACTCTTTTTTATATTATGTTTTATATATTTTATGTTTTTTTATATATTACGTGTGTTTATATATTTGTTAAAATGTAATTTCTTTTTTAACAACTTGATATGACGTTTCTTATACATTTTTTATGTCTCAAAGAATAAAATATCTATCTATCTATCTAATATTTCTTAAGCTCTTTGATACATTTCCCAATAGCTTAATATAAGGTATAGAACACTTACAATTAGTAATAATACTACTAAAGAATATTACTACAGCACCTTTCTTGTATTTTTATAAAATGAAACAAGATTATATTACATTTCTGTATATGTAAGTATGAAGGGAAGTTGAAGAACTCTAATTTTATTTTTTAGCACTTAAATCCACACAGCGCAATTTTACAAAAGTTACTGAAGTTGTTTACTAGCAAGTAGTTTGATTATATCAACCATTCTTTTATAAAATCAGGAGGAACCTGTCTTACTGTAACAACCTATTATACTATTTCTGAGTCTATAATTTGGCACCGAGAACTTTTTTCAATTTTAGCAAAAGTGAATGACATGTGGTAGTTCTCATTCTTTTATTTCTTAATGCGAAAAATGAGAATATATCCGTAATTCAAAAATGAATGATGTTCGAGATATCTCAGATTTCTTGAAAATCTTGATATTTATAGTTTTTCCGAAGTCAATTGAAGAACCAATATCTTCAAGGCATATACCAGGCTCGGTCGCTAAGCAGCAACTCGGCATTGAAATATTTGAAAAACTTGTTCCCACATTTATTTAGCCATACCCATATACAGATCTGGTCGAACGAAAAGTGCAGTTGTAGAATGAACGTGCGGGCAAAGAGCAATGCGCACTGTTTCTCTGGTCTATTGGGTTGTCAAAATTCAGTTGTCGACTAGTTGCCTAGCAGTGCAGTGCGGGAATGCGGAATTTGGTGGGATTCAGATAATTTTAATTTATTATAGGCACCCTTCTATTAACCATTCATATTACAATTGCGAAAGGGAAAAATAACAGGGATATTTGGTTTACTAATATTATTACAACTTGGCATTTTGGAGACCTTTTGAAATGGAACAAAATGAAATTTACCATCAATATAATAAAATTGTTTGAGGACATAAATAATTAAAATATGTTGTTGGTTAAATGAACATATAATAGAAATTTTCTACACATTATATATGTTATGGACCAAGTGATAAATCGGGCATTATACAAAATGCCCGGTCATTATGTAAAATGCCCAATATGAGGGTGCAATTTGATAATAATTATTCAAATAATCAAATTGACCGGGCATTATACATATCGTCCATCACCTTTTGGGCAGAGTAATACAAACATATTTAATTACTATATTTTTTATTATTATTGTCATTTAACTTAAAATAAACTAAATGTTAAACAATTTAAATAATCAGACTCATTATTTCGATTAATTAGCAAGGACTTCTACATTAAGAATCCACTAGTTTTTGCATTTAAAACTTAAAACATAACATAAAATAAACTAAAGTTTAAGCAATCACTCATTATTTGGCATAATTAGCATCTAATAGTTTTCAGCACTTTAAACTTAATAAAAGTCAAATGAAAATATAAGTACCTAAAATAGAATAAAATTTAGATTTATTATCAAATTGCCCAATTGTCACGTAGCAATATAATAATTACCGTGCAATGTGATAAATAATGAAGTTTAGATAGTAATTAATCACTTAGCCCAATAGAGTTAGACATTATTCATAATGCTCGCACATTATTAATAATGCCCGCATTAATCAGCTGGTCCATAACATATACAAATTATTATAATTTTCTACCTTTAACTGAAAACTTTTTTAGGGACGCCCATGAAACTCATTAAATTTGATTGTTTGATTGATCGTTTTTTATATGCATGTTCAACTGACTTCGCAATAACTTATACAACAGTGTCTAGGTAATCTAAGTATGGACATTCAAGAAATACAGACCAAAAATTTAAACAAAAACCATACGAGTTTTGACAATTAATTAAAAATAACTCGCCAACTTAATATGTATTTTTGAGAGCATTAAAAATATTTCTTCTCAAATGAAATACTAGCATAGGTACTTGTGTTAGTGATTGGTTCAATGCAAAATTAAATTCTAAATTAAACAAGGCACAAGCTTGACCAGATGCATCTTCTCAGCGAGTTTCAGATGCGTAGTATGACAGCGGCTCATATAATATAAAACCTTTATTAAACAATTATATTTACCAGAACTAATTAAACTTTTTCACAAAAGGTATCTATTTGCAGACTTTCTTCTTGATCTTGGTCAGGTTGTATTGTACGAGTGATTTCGAATTTTAACCGTGTTCTCAAAATAATTCAATAACTTCCTCCAAAAGTACGAGATCATGGACAAGAAATCACACCCTACGACGCACAAAAATTCACGAATGTTGCGAAATTTTCCCGAAGCTCCCCTACGAAACCCCGATGCTAACAGAGTATACTACCGATCGCTAAGATATCGTCAGTAGCGCATAAAGGCGCAAAAAGTTTAACCAAAATTTCGAAATTTTTGATAATAAAATATTTCCAAATTTTACGAAATTCGAACTGAAGCAAGACCTTAGGCTCACCATTAAATAAAATCACATTCAGGTCGATAACCCGGAGATGGCCACCATTCTAAGAAGGCGTTCT